TTAAACTTTTTTATAAATATAATATATCAAATTTATATATAAATGAATCTACGTGTATAAATAATATAGGTTCACGGATACGAACCAGTTGGGACCAATGTACTCGGTGATGTGGGTAGGGTCCTGTCAGATGTGGTGGACCAAGTGAGCCACATGGTCCAAAACCCCACTTGACGGTGCATGGTTAGCTGCATGTCATCAGGGGTGACCTAACATTTCTTGAAAGTTTAAGGAATTATAATTTAGTCGTTCTTCAATTCAACTGAAACTCCTTGTAAGATTTGTATAAAGACGTAGGGGCAGCATAAGATTTCATATTTATGTAACTCCAACAAGGCAACAACACCCTTCACTTTTAAATTTCTTCAACTGTCAGTCAGATTTTTGAATGCTTTTTAAATAAGGGATTGATAGTTTGAACATTCAAAAATAAAAACAAGTACGAACTTAAAATAAAAACAAGGTTGGAAGCAAGTACAAATTGTAAGGAGGTGGGAATTGGCTCAAATAATTTGAACATGTTTTTTTTGTTATGGTTGTACTTTTTAGTTTTTAATTTTGATTTTTATAAATTTTAAAAGTCTTGATTTATTTATTTTAAGAAAAAAATGAGGGAAGGGATGATCAAACTTTTTATTTACACCTTATATATTAATTTTTTGTAGTCAACATTCTTAAAAATTTTTACTTTCAATTAACACAATTTATAATTTAAAATGCTTAAAAAATTCAAAAATTTAGTATCAAACCCACCCTAATTTTATTAGTAATTTGAAGTTTTTTTTATATATATTTTAAATTATGAAAAGTGTTAATTAAGAGTGAAAATTATGAAGAGTGTTATTTGTAAAAAAAAATAATATATAAAATGTAAATAGAGAGTTTGGAGGAGGAGAGGGAAAGTGACACTATTTCCATGAATTAAATTAAATAGGCTATAAATATATATAAAAAATTATTTAGTTTTACGTTTATTTGTGAAAATATAATTATGATTAGTAGATAAATAGAAAAAATAGTTTTAATATTACTAAATAAGTTTATAATTTTAGTTGTTAATATTAAAAGGAGTTAGTGCTTGTCCGCCTTATCTCTAAAAAATTAAAAGGAAAAATTATAAAAATTACCTTAATACATGCTTTAAAAATATGGTAGTTTGGTTTTTTTCAATAAAAATTTATTGAAACGACGTAATTTTAGGATGATTTTCCTCTTAATCTTTAGGAAATAAGGTTGACAGACACTTTTTTCATATTAAAATATGTTTTAAATAAATTATCGATTTCTAGTTCTTAGTCTTAGTTTTAAACAATTACAAAATTTATAAAAATTAAATTTAAAAACCAAAAATTATAACTATACTAAATAAAGTTTCAACAAATAATCTATTTTTAGTTGTAATGATCTCTATATATAGAGAGAGGTTTATTAAGTGGATCTCTACAAAAATACTTTAAAATTATCTTATTTTAAAAATAAATTATTTCAATTATTTTTAATGAAAATTACTTAAAATAATATAATTTTAAGACGTTTTAGTAAGCAAATGTGTTATACAATGTTCAAAAAAAAAAAAATGTGTTATACAAAATATTGGACTATCTTGGCTTCAATCTTTTATCCTAGCTTTTGTAAGGTTCTAAACTTGACATGAAAACAATTTGACAAAGAGAAGGATATTCTTATATAAGATTCGGACTACCCATCAAAATATCAAGGTAATTAAAATTATAAAATATTATTTTTATTTAATTTGTTTGATAAAATAATTAAAAAATAATTAAAAACTAATAATTAATAAAATAATTAATATTTTTAATTAATAAATTAAAATCAATTATAAATTAATATTTTTAAACACTACTTTAAAATAAAAATAAAAATATTAATAATCTTAACAGTTTTTATAATAGCAATAATCACACCCAAGATTCTTCCCTTGAAATTGTAACTTGTGAAAGTGAGAAAATTATAACCCACACTGTATGATTTTAGTTGTACCTAAAAGCTAAAACACTGTTAATTCAACGTGCACAAATTAATTTGACAAGATTCCACCGCAAATCCCACAACCACCGTCCATCCAATGGAATTCGACATCAGAGGTTGTAAACTACCCTATTGTTCGTCCCATGATGTAGTGAAAAAAACCCAGAATTATTTTTTACTCGAACGACTTCAATCAGTTGTCTGGGTCAATTACATTGTAACAGTAAAGATGTAGACAAAACTGAAAAACGCAAATGAAGATTCCTCCTCTGTATGTCCTGACATGATTCCTTACACAAACTAGCAAACCCATCCATTTCATGTGTTGCTGTCCTTGATTTCTTTCTCAACCCCATTGCTTTCTTTCTCCTTTCAGGCATCTTGGATATGTCTTCAGTTTTTTTTGTTGGGTGTTCTTGTTTTCTGCTAAGCAACAGCAGGAGTTCCAGGGCAAGCATCCAATTCCAACCTCTCCAGGTTGTGCTTGCGTCTCAGCAGCCTTACAGCATCTGTCAGATCTCAGAACCATTATTAACCAAATGGGCCAAGTACTCTTCAGAATCCTATGATGATGACTCCACAGGATGGTGTTGAGGTTTGATCAATTCCGTGACCCAGAGATTGCTTGGAAGGGTCCTGATAGGAAATTGAGAGTGATCATTGGAAGCCTGAAACAACCAATTCTTCATAAAAATCATGACGATTTTGAATTTTGTTAACTGGACTACATATTATGATCCTCTCATCACACATGAGGTTGACACTTCAGTCCAGAATCCATGTGTTGGGCATGTGATGAAGGCATGGCAGGCTTCAACTGTCAGTCATGGCAACTTCATATTGGGGACATGTGTTCCTGATTAGTCATAGAAATTTCTCTTCCTTGCGTGAACTTCACAGGAACTAGTTTGGACTTGAGTGATGATTGTGGTAAATTCTGTGCCTTGAAGACATTCTTTGACGGTGCAGAAAAAACGACGATATTATGGGATTTGGTAAATGAATTTGATAGCAGAAAAGATGATTTAGAGAAAGCATGATCTGGACTTAAGGTGATTTTACCCCTAAATTTAAAAGATTTTGAAAGAAATGATGAATGTAATGCACTAAAATTGGTTTTTATAATTTGCTTTGCACTTGATTCATTTGCAAATTTGGCTTGATAGAACGGGAAAGCAAATAGTGCAGTGGCCAGGGGAAACAATCAAATCATTCTACGTGACAATCTAGTCAGCATTCATGATTTCCAGCTGGAAGATGGATCTGTTTTTGAAATTTCAGGCATTGATGCTGCACTGGTAAGCATTGATGATCAATTTCCTCCTCCAGTCAATAATTTCTGAAGTATTTTGAACTGACTTCTTCCTTAACATTTGATGTGTAAGGCGGAGATTGAATGTGCTAGAATTGCCTGAAGTAGAGAAGGTTGAGTTTCTGAAGTCAAGTCAGGTTGATACCCAAGAAATCTGTACCAAGGAAAATGCACCCGTCAATGGCAGATTTAGACCTTTCAGATTATTAACGTTGGCAAAAATTAGCAGAACAGACCACTATTTTCTTTCGAGTTTTTAAAGGGAATACGTGGAGGATATATAGTACTCATGTGCAGTGACAAGAACAGGTCAGTTGCATACCAAAAGAGATTTAATTTCAATGATGTTTTGATTCAATGTTAAAGACTTTGTTCACAGGTCTTTTATGAAGAAATGAAGATAAAACGACACTTCAATTCAATGTTAAGGACTTGATCTGTTCACAGGTCTTCCATGAAGAAAGATACATAAAACAAAGAAGTATGAAAGCTTGGAGTATGAAGAAAGGCACAGATAAAACGCAAATAAAGTTGTAATTTATCATTTGAGATCCAGCTGTTTCATTACTTTCTTCATATATATTTTATATTGAATATCAATTGAAGCTTAATTTGCGTGCTACTGGTAACAATCATAAAAAAATGCAAGTTGACTGCTTAGATAATCCAAAAGGAATTTAAGTATGAAAAACGAGAAGTATACGCTTCAACTTGACTTGTTTATGATATCCTTACAAAAGCTAGCATTGAAATTGAGCTATTGATGGCTGAAAGATACAGGATGGAGATATCTGTTCTTTGGATTGTTGGGTTATGTTTTGTGTTGGTTGACAATGGAGTTCAAGGCTCTCTTGGGAATGGGAGGATTCTTTGATCACCTTCTCTTGTGCAGCCTCACAGGACTGCCTTCCATTTCCAACCTCCCAAAAACTGGATGAATGGTAAGTCTTCCCAAACTCATTTTGCCCTTCAAATCTCTTTGTTCTCAACGCTGATTTTGTTATTTTATGTACTATCTGACATGTAATCCTCAAAATTGTTACAAAATGGAGATGCAGATCCGAATGGTGAGCTTGTCAGTTCTTTCACCTTATGCAATTGTTATCTTTCAACCATTTTCAGATATTTATGAAATTCTGTTCATCACAGGACCTATGTATCACAATGGAATTTATCATCTGTTCTATCAATACAATCCTTATAGTGCAACATGGGGTAACATAACGTGGGGCCATTCAGTATCAGATGATCTTGTCAATTGGATTCATCTTGAACATGCACTAGTGGGGACAGAACCTTATGACATCAATGGTTGCTGTTCTGGTTCAACCACATTCCTTACCCCGGAAAAACCAGTCATTCTATACACTGGAGGCAATTACAAAAATCGTCAGACTCAAAACTTGGCATGGCCTAAGAACCTTTCTGATCCATTTCTAAGTGAATGGGAGAAAGCTCCTCAGAATCCTCTCATGAACCCCATTGATGATATTGATCCAAAGTATTTTAGAGATCCAACAACTGCTTGGAAAGGTCCTGATGGGAAATGGAGGGTTTTAGTGGGTAACCAGATGAATGATCATGGACAGGCACTTCTGTATACAAGCACAGACTTTGTGAGATGGACTAGGAGCAAGAATCCTCTGCACTCATCCAACAAAACTACAATGTGGGACTGTCCTGATTTTTATCCTGTGAGTATCAATGGCAAGTATGGAGTTGACAAATCTTCACAGGATAAATTCACCAAACACATCATGAAGGCAAGCATCATTAATACACATGATTACTACATATTAGGAAACTACTCGGTGAAAACAGATCATTTTTCACCTGCTACAGATTTCAAAGGTGATGCTTCTGATTTGCGGTATGATTATGGGAATTTTATGCTTCTAATACATTTTTTGACAGCTCTAAGAAGAGAAGGATCTTATGGGCGTGGATACCTGAGTCTGATGCTGACTCAGATGACCTCAAGAAAGGTTGGTCTGGCCTTCAGGTAATAATCAGTCTATTCTATTTCTATACATACATGGAAAATAAATGTGGGATGTGTTTGAAGACTCTAATGAGGGTTATTGTTTTGGTTTCCAGTCAGTTCCTAGAAGTATTCTGCTCAGCAAAAATCACAGGCAATTAATTCAGTGGCCAATCAAGGAAATAGAGAAACTGCGGGGAGAAGAAGGTAAGCTTCCGCATTAAGGAGATTAAGGGTGGATCTGTACTAAAAGTTCCTGGCATTACAGCAGCTCAGGTATCAATTGTACTTTATGTTGGAATTATTGCTAGAAACGTGGCAATCAAATCTGCAGAAATGATGAAATGAAACTGCCATGAAATGGCAGCAATGAGGCTGCAATTTGACGGCAAATGAAGCTGCAATTTAACAGCAAATATGGCAGTAATTTAGCTGCAAATATGATGGAAATGGAGCTGTAAAATGACAGCAAAAATGTGCAGCAAGCTGAGCTGCAAATGTTGATGAAATGAGGCTGCAACGGGCAGCAAATGAAATGCAAATGCATCAGAAATGAAAGCCGCAAAATAGGCTGCAGAGTTGCCAAGGGGCTGCAGAGCTGCAAAGAGGCTGCAGAACTACCAAAGGACGCAAGCTGCAGCCAAAGTGGCTGTTATCTATTTCAAATTTCAAATGTACTTTATTGTTTTTTTAATGTAGAAAGTTGTTTGAATTTTGAATTGTTTAAAGATTGTATTCTCCTATAAATAGGAGAGATTGTTAATGAGAAAAGTTGAGTTGAAGTCATATGCTTCTCTCCATTTTATGTGTTCTGCTCTTCATCTTCTTCCTCTCGGTTCTCTCCATTTCTTTGTTTTAAAAAAATCCCAACACTTTATGCCTCAAATTGATTAGATACTAAAGAAATAGCTCTCAGTTTTATTTCTTCATCACACTTAACAGGCAGATGTAAAAATTTCATTTGATTTACCAAGTTTAAAAGAAGCTGAACTGATGGGTCCGAGCTGGGCTGATCCTCAACTGCTCTGTAGCCAAAAGGCAGCATCTGTTAGAGGCAAAGTAGGGCCATTTGGATTATTGGTCTTAGCTTCCAAGGGATTGAAGGAGAAAACAGCAGTCTTCTTTCGGGTCTTTAGAAGCAGTCATGACAAATATGTTGTGCTCATGTGTAGCGATCAGAGCAGGTAAGTTACAGCCTTACAGGCCTTAAGATTCTTCGTCAATTCAAGTTCTTTTCTAGCTCAGACATTGAAATTTTCTGGAACTTTTCTCAGGTCTTCTTTGAGAGAAGGGCTTGACATAACCACATATGGCGCTTTCATGGACATAGACCCTAGCCAGGAGAAGATTTCACTGAGAACTTTGGTATGCTGCATCCGTTCTTGTTTCTAGTTAAATGATAACCCATCTCTATGTTTATTCAATGCCATGATCCGGTCCAGAAACCCACCTGTTCTAGCTAAACTTGAGTTTAAGTTATTCCTAGATCAAAACTTTGACCAATACATAACATATGCACTCATAATATCTCCTGATATGAGATTGGAGTAGCATTCTCTGAACCAGAAAATTTGGCTTCATTGCAGATTGATCATTCCATCATTGAGAGCTTTGGTGGGAAAGGAAGAAGTTGCATTACTGCTAGGGTTTATCCAAAGTTGGCCATTGGTAATGAAGCAGAGCTGTATGCATTCAGCAATGGCACTCTGGATGTCACCATCTCAAGGCTCAAAGCTTGGAGCATGAAAAAAGCTCATCTTGTTTCTTCCAATGACATTAGAAGCCACCAAGTTTCTTTGATGAGAAGCCAGCAATTTAATTTGAAGCAAAAGTAAACAAATGCAATCATAGGATTATTTTGGTAATGCATAAATAATTAAAGGACTCTTCTTTTCCTACATTACTTAATAAAGGAGTTTCCTTTTGGTCGTACATAATTCAAATAACCGTAGTTGTTTGTTCCATGTTTTGTTGTCCAAGATTTGATTTTTTAATGCTTAAAGGAGCAAATCTCTGAAAAATTCCCTATTCTGAGGTTAACGTGGAAAAGGGCATTAAGCCCACATGTTTTCCAGTTTTGATAGTTTTTTCTTAACAAAAAATTGAGCATATAATAGCTAGAAACAACTATGCGTACGAAATCAAATGACCATCTCTCAGTTACATTCTGTGTAGCTAGTTTTGTCTTATTTTCTTCAATTTTGATTTCTTCTACAAAGAATATATAAAAGTGCAAGTTGGACGCTTGGATAATATAAAAATCTCAAGCCAAAAATCGAGGAGTGCATGCTTCAGCCCGACCTGTTCATGATACCGCAAGAGCTACCGTTGACCTTGAGCTATCGATGGCCTGAAAGAAGAAACAGGATGCAGATATCTGTTTTCTTGATTGTTGGCTTATGCTTTGTGTTGGTTGGACATGGAATTCAAGTCTCCCCTAAGCAGCCTTACCGGAGTACCTTCCATTTCCAACCTGCCAAAAATTGGATGAGCGGTATGTCCTCCTGAACCCTTTTTGCTTTTTCCAATCTCTTTGTTCTTAAGTACTGATGATATATATATATTTAATTTAATGTGCTATTTTTACATGTAATCTGCAAAATCGGTATCAATTTGGCAATGCAGATCCGAATGGTAAGCTCGTTAGTTCCTTTACCTTGTTCATATGTTAATTTTTAATCTCTTTCTGACAATTTATTAAATTCTTTTATTTTTAATCATATAGGACCAATGTATCTCAGTGGTATTTACCATCTGTTCTATCAAGCCAACCCTTATTCTGTAATTAAGGGTAACATGACTTGGGGTCATTCAGTTTCATATGATCTTGTTAATTGGATTCATCTAGAACCTGCACTCTATAGGGGTGACCCTTATGATCCCCATGGTTGTTGGTCCGGTTCAATCACGTTCCTATATGAGGAAAACCCCGTCATTCTATACACTGGAGTTGATAATGAAGGTATTCAGACTCAAAACTTGGCATGGCCTAAGAACCTATCTGACCCACTTCTTCGAGAATGGGTGAAATCAACTCAGAATCCTCTCATGAGCCCCATTGATGATACTGATCCAAAGTATTTTAGAGATCCAACAACTGCCTGGAAAGGTCCTGATGGGAAATGGAGGGTTTTAGTGGGTAACCAGATGAATGGTCACGGGCTGGCATTGTTGTACACAAGCAAAGATTTTGTAAGATGGACTAGGAGCATGAATCCTTTTCACTCATCCAACAATACTTTGATGTGGGAGTGTCCTGATTTTTACCCGGTGAGTATCAATGGCAAGTATGGAGTTGACACCTCTTCACAGGAAAAATTCACCAAACACGTCCTCAAGGCAAGCATCAATCTCATCTTTCATGATTACTACATGCTGGGAAACTATTCTTCGGAAACAGATCATTTCTCAGCTGATACAGATTTCAAAGGTGATGCTTCTGATTTGCGGTATGATTATGGGAAATTTTATGCTTCCAAGACGTTTTTTGACAGTTCTAAGAAGAGACGAATATTGTGGGGATGGGTAAATGAGTCTGACAGTCAATCAGATGACCTCGAGAAAGGTTGGTCTGGCCTTCAGGTAATCAATCTACTCTATTTCTTGACACAAATGGAAAATACTAGTGGTATTTGTCTGAAGAGTGAAGACTCTAAAAAAGTAGTTCTTGAGGATTTCAGGCAATTCCTAGAAGTATTCTGCTAAGTAAAAATGAGAAGCAGTTGATTCAATGGCCAATCAAGGAAATAGAGAAACTGCGGAAAAAGAAGGTGAGCTTCGAAGAGAAGGAGCTTAAGGGTGGATCAGTGCTAAAAGTTCCTGACATTACAGCTTCACAGGTATCAACCATGCTTATTGTATGGAATTTTGATTAGACACTAAAGAAATAAAATCATTCTTACTTCTTCATCTCACTTGAAGGCGGATGTGGAAGTTTCATTTGATTTGCCGAGTTTAACAGAGGCTGAACTGATGGATACAAGCTGGATTGATCCTCAACTGCTCTGCAGCCAAAATACAGCATCTGTTAGAGGCAGAGTTGGGCCATTCGGGTTACTGGTCTTAGCTTCCAAGGGATTGAAGGAGCAGACAGCAGTCTTCTTTCGCATCTTCAGAAGCAACAATGATAAATATGTTGTGCTCATGTGTAGTGATCAAAGCAGGTGAGCAACAAACAGGCCTTTACTCTTCCTCAATTCAAGTTCTTCTCCAGTATTGACATTCAATCTTCGGATATTGTCCACAAGGTCATCTTTGAGGGAAGAGCTTGACAAAACCACATATGGGGCTTTTATTGACATAGATCCTATCCATGAGAAGATTTCACTAAGAACTTTGGTATGTTGCCATTATCTAGTCTAAACCCCCATCTCTCTGTTCAAACTTAACTTTTCATGTCACTTTATTGGACCTGGCTATTTTGGCTTCGTTACAGATTGATCATTCAATCATCGAGAGCTTTGGTGGGGAAGGCAGAAGTTGCATCACTGCTAGGGTTTATCCAGAGTTGGCTATTGGTGATGAAGCAGAGCTGTTTGCATTCAACAATGGCACTCTGGATGTGAACGTCTCAAGGCTCAATGCTTGGAGCATGAGGAAGGCTCAGCTGGTTTCTCCTAATAACAGAAGGAAGCCAAAAATTTAATTGAAGCAAAAATAAACATAGGAAGCCAGTGCATTATTTTGACAATGCCTAAAGAATTTCAACAAAATTATTTCTAAATTTGTTTTCTTCTTCTTCTTTTTTTCGCTTCTACCCTTGCTTTAGTAACATTTTAATCTTCCTGCAGACCAATTAAAAAATACTCTAGATACGAAAAATTACTTGTAGTTCTTCATTTGGTTCTAGATTTTTTGGTTCCTTTTCCATGTAAGAAGTTCTTCCCTTTTTGGTTTCTTGGGTGGGGGGGTTTTGTTGCCTTTTTGGTTTCTGTATTGGTTTGGAGCTTCTTTTCTTGCTTTGGAGGGTCAGAGGAGGTGCAAAAGACTGGAAAAAGGAGGAGGTGAGACTGCTTTGTTCTTTTTGAGGTGGCTAATTTGTTTAAGCTTATAAAGTTTAAGGGCCAATTTAAAAAACCACAATTAAGTTGATGCCTTTTAATTTAGGGACTTAAAATTTATAATTCTGTAAGTTTGCTGGAAAGGAAACGTATGATTATTTCGGCATTGGGGATTATTACTGCAGATTGGTTTGCAGAGTTCTGGCAGGTATGGATTATGCATACCAAGTGAATGATAAAATACTTCTTTGGTATAACAGCCAACTAGAAATTTGTTTTTGAAAAGTTATCAGATATAGATATTTGAGATGCTGAGATATTTTTCCAAGTTACTTGAGATGTTGTTCTGTGAAATTATTGGAGGAATGTAGTCCTTCGACTGGGGACTTAAATGGTTTTCATTTAGGGCCAAGATAACTTGTCATGTGCTAAACATAAGAGACCTATTGACAGAGATTGAATATGACGATAATCTTCATATCTGACAGCAGAGATCGATGCTTTTGGTATTGAGGTCGACAAAGATACAATCCAATATGCTCATGAGCCTGCTTTATGTCAATTTAATGCAGACTACCATAATTGCATTTTGGTCTGTTGGGAAGGCAACATATGCTGCTACTATTCCTTCCTTTTTGCAGTCTACTACCATTGTTCTAACCTTTTCCAGATAGATCACTTGATAATAAATTGTTTTGGTGAAGAAAGAAGAGCTTACTTATATCACACTACTAGTATATCCAAAGTTTTATGTTATAGAAGATGCCTCGCCTCACCTTTATGCATTCAACAATGAACTGAAAAGGTGTGAAAACTTCATGGTTGGATGCTTGGAGCGCAAATTTTTCTCAGACTAATAGCAAAGGAAGTTTAAAATGATTTCAGAAAGAAAATTTGTTCTGAATTCACGGATTCTTGAGTTTCCCAATCACAAGATCAAATTTTTTTTATTATTATTATTATTTTGTGTAAATAGCTTCCTATCTTGATAAAACATTAAAACAAAGTTCACTTAGAATTCCTATACCGTTAGTTTACTAAAATCTATTTTTATTATGTAAGTTATGGTTTGGAGTTCAGCTTTTCACGTTAATTTTTGACTTGAAGACCTTGTCTGTTGGACTTGGACCCTTCACATGTTTTCCAATTTTGATAAATTTTTCTTAATGAAAACGAAACCAACAACTTCATTGTCTATCTCTCAGTCATATTCTGTATGGTTCTTATTTCTTCATATATTTTTACGTTGCAGAATCAAAATCTCAATTTAGATGCTTCTACAAATTATATAAAAGTGCAAGTGGACTGCTCAGATAATTACAAAAATCCCAGGATGGCAAAAACGAAGGGTATATGCTTCAGCCTGACTTGTTTATGATATCCTTACATGAGCTACTGTTGACGTAAAGCTATTGATGACCAGAAAGATACAGAATGCACATTTCCTGGATGGTTGGGTTATGTTTTTTGTTGATTGGCAATGGAATTCAACGCTCTCCTGGAAATGATAGGAGTGCGGGTCCTTCCCTTGAGCAGCCTTACCGAACTGCCTTCCATTTCCAACCTCCCAAAAACTGGATGGGCGGTATGTCTCGACATACTCTTATTTGCCTTTCCAATCTCTTTTTCTTTGTGTTGATTTTTGTTTTTTTATTTGCTATTTGACATGCAATCCACAAAATTGGTACCACATGGCACAATTCAGACCCGAATGGTAAGCTTCTTAGTTCTTTACCTTATTGATATGTTATCTTATAAGCATTTTCAGATATATATAAAATTCTTGTTCATCACAGGACTAATGTATCACAATGGAATTTATCATCTGTTCTATCAATACAATCCTTATTCTCCAACTGGATCCTTCTTTAACATGACATGGGGTCATTCAGTTTCATATGATCTTGTTAATTGGATTCATCTTGAACCTGCACTCAATACGGATAAACCTTACGATGCCAAAGGTTGCTGGTCCGGTTCAACCACGTTACTCTCTGAGGAAAACCCTGTTATTCTGTACACTGGAGTTGACAATGAAGGTATTCAGACTCAAAACTTGGCATGGCCTAAGAACCTATCTGACCCATTTCTTCGAGAATGGGTGAAATCTCCTCAGAATCCTCTCATGAGCCCCATTGATGATATTGATCCGGAGTATTTTAGAGATCCGACAACTGCCTGGAAAGGTCCTGATGGGAAATGGAGGGTTCTAGTGGGTAACCAGATGAATGGACATGGGCAGGCATTTCTATATACAAGCGAAGACTTTGTAAGATGGACTAGGAGCAAGAATCCTTTTTACTCATCCAACAATACTTTGATGTGGGAGTGTCCTGATTTTTACCCTGTGAGCATCAATAGCAAGTACGGAGTTGACACCTCTTCACAGGAAAAATTCACCAGACATGTCCTGAAGGCAAGCATCAATCTCATCTTTCATGATTACTACATACTTGGAAACTACTCGGCAGAAACAGATCATTTCTCAGTTGATACAGATTTCAAAGGTGATGCTTCTGATTTGCGGTATGATTATGGGAAATTTTATGCTTCTAAGACATTTTTTGACAGTCCTAAGAAGAGGCGAGTCTTGTGGGGATGGGTAAATGAGTCTGATACTGTGTCAGGTGACATCAAGAAAGGTTGGTCTGGCCTTCAGGTAAGCAATTTACTCTATTTTATGACATGCATGGAAAACACAAGTGGGATGTGTCTAAAGACGCTAAAAAATGTTAATCTTGGGGGTTTTCAGGCAATTCCTAGAAGTATTCTGCTAAGTGAAAATCAGAAGCAATTGATTCAGTGGCCAATCAAGGAAATAGAGAAACTGCGGAAAAAGAAGGTGAGCTTCACAGATAAGGAGCTTAAGGGTGGATCGGTACTAAGAGTTCCTGACATTACAGCTTCACAGGTATCAACTATGCTTTTTGTATGGAATTAGATAGTAAAGAAATGAAGTCATTCTTACTTCTTCTCACTTGAAGGCGGATGTAGAAGTTTCATTTGATTTGCGGAGTTTAACAGAGGCTGAACTGATGGATACGAGCTGGAATGACCCTCAACTGCTCTGCAGCCAAAATACAGCTTCTGTTAGAGGCAAAGTTGGACCATTTGGGTTATTGGTCTCGGCTTCCATGGGATTGAAGGAACAAACAGCAGTTTTCTTTCGCGTATTTAGAAGCAGTCATGGCAAACATGTTGTTCTTATGTGTACTGATCAGAGCAGGTAACAAGCCCTGAAGACTCTTCTTCAATTCAAGTTCTTCCCCCGCATTGACATTTTATCTTATGACATTCTTCACAAGGTCGTCTTTGAGGAAAGTGCTTGACAAAACCACATATGGGGCTTTTATGGACGTAGACCCTATCCATGAGAAGATTTCACTGAGAACATTGGTATGTTGCTTTTGTGTTGTAGATACTTAAAATAATGACAGAATACCCAAATCCATCCCCAAAATATAATTGCAGGACGGATCCACCCCAACAAAAAACGGGAATAAATCCACCCACAAAATTTTCGATTTAAAAGAACATCTAAATTTAATGTGTGACGTCATCTGACATCAACAATATGTTAATTTGACGTCATCTGACATTAGCAATCCGTTAACGGATTAACGAATTGTCGATGTTAAATGATATCACAAGTTAAATTTGAGATGATTTATCCAAATTAAAAATTTTATAGATGGATTTGTCACTGTCACTATACATTGGGGGTGAATTTTGGTATTTTGCTTAAAATAATGACTCATCTCTATGTTTATTTCATGTCATTATCTAGTCTAACCTGGTTAATTGGCTTTTGTTACAGATTGATCATTCAATCATTGAGAGCTTTGGTGGGGAAGGTAGAAGTTGCATCACTGCTAGGGTTTACCCAGAGTTGGCCATTGGTGATGAGGCAGAGCTGTATGCATTCAACAATGGCACTCTAGATGTGTACATCTCAAGCCTCAATGCTTGGAGCATGAAGAAGGCTCATCTGGTTTCTGCCAAGGAAGAAGCAAGTCAACAATTTGATTGAACCCAAAATCCAACATATGTAGACAAAAAAAATAAAAAAAAAAACACGTATTACATACCCTCAAAATGTATCAAATACTAAATAGCTCAGTTAAGCAAAATGCTGTCTAAAGACCAGACGTTAATCATTGTCATTGCTTTTTTGATCTTCTTAATTGTTTTTTTTTTTTTCCCAAACAAGGGAGAATTTGGGGGAGGAAGATTTTTTTCCAAGTCGTCAATGGGAATCAAAACCCTTAATCATTTATATTCAAACACTTGAGATTTTGAGGTGAATTATTGAATCCAAATATTCAATTCTTTTAATTATTTCTATTTAAACCTTAACTTAGTCAAAAAAAATTCTTTTTATTTTTTAATTTAGACAAATAAAATAAAATATCTACATATAACCCTTTTATTTTTTATTTCACAATAAATTATAATTATCTTTTATATTGTAATTTTTTTAATATATTTATAAGAATGAAATTCAAATCATTACCTGAAATAAAAAAAAATGCGCTTCAACTTGACTTTATTATCATTGGACCGAAGCTCCAAGTGCGTATATTGTAATTCTTTACACTAGGATAATGTGCAGGAATACATCATTTCTTACCCCAAAAAAATGTCATTCCTATCGCGATGCTATTAAAATAATAGAAAGTGGCATTTTAATCAAGAATTTTTCTTTTTTTCAAAAGATTCCAAATTTCTGAAATCCTTGATGTTAATAAAAGGAGATTCGAACGAGTAGCATTTTTATCCGCAAGTTACTTTCTATTTAAAAAAGGGCCTTTTTTATTTATGAATTATATGTTAAATTTTTTATTTTGTAATTAGATGAGGTATGATATAAAATATAAAACACTTGTATACATATATAAATTTAATATTTAAAAAATATTTTTTAAAGTAAATCATATA